AAAAGCGCACTCTCACAGCGACCCGGTCTCTATTTTTTTTTGGGGGGGGTCAAGGTAAGGCTTGGAGGGCCCATGACCCCCATCCTGCTGCCTATAGAGACGTGTAGAGCGTCTAGGATAGAGGCACATGTGGAGTTTCGGGGCGGAGTTTGCAGGTTTAGGTATGAGCTGCTGCCGACTTTAGCATTTTTTTGGGCTTGTGGAGCTTTAGGGCTTTAGGGAAGACCGCCGCAGCATGCCTACAGTCCCCATTGGAGGTCTTCTTCGGTTACTCTGTGGGGCCCCGAAACAAAAAACAGGTTAAACCCAAAAAAACGAATAACATGGATACTATAGGTAGTGGCCATAAGCAATGCACAGGGTCCTGAGTAACTACATGGAGGGCACCTACCCCAACCGCAATCGTATATAATTCCTGGTATAGATACCCCACTCTCTACAATGCAGGTACTTAGGACCCTTTGGGGACATGGGCTTCGGCACCAGCTGAATAGATCGAGAAACATCGACTTTTTGCGTTCATCACGCATGCGTGGGGAGCGTCTGGGCACAATACCTGACAAAGGACCATAGCGAAAAGGAGCCTTGATAACTAGAACAGGGTTTGAGGGTCTACGATGGAATATTTATGCGAGTTTGTCAGTAGTTGCGCGTAATTACTCAGGCTTGTATATCATGCTACAGGTGGTTGCGGGGCTTCAGGTTCAAGGTGAAACACGCGTGCTCAACGCCTTCTGCTTTCACAGATGGCGGCGCACAGCCAGCTTCTAGATCTCACCATACAGACTTCATAGGAGCCGTCGGGAGGGGTCCACTAAACTGCAGAATCTCATCGAGGCGCATGACACGGCGTGCTGTCTTTGTCCAGATCTCGTCGTGTCTTTGCAGCTGCAAGTCAACTCCCTCTCCCCAGCAGGTAGTTGTCTGATTGCTGTCCTAGGTCTCGGTTTCCAGAGCCCTGAATCATCAGTTATAGATTCCTCTTTAAGCCAAACGCAAAATGTCACAATTAAACCCTAAACCCTAAAGAACCCTAAACCCTAAACCCTAAACCCTTAAAAAACAAAACCCTAAACCCTAAACCACAATGATTAGAAATCGGCACCTAGTGTCTGGCCCATGTAGAGCACAGGCATGCTGGTAGCCACATGCGACCTCCGTAGCATCCTCGAGCCCCTCTACCTCGGCATGTCTCAGATTCTGATGATGCTCAAGGTTTATAGGGTTTAGGGTTTAGGGTTTCGGGGTTTAGGGTTTAGGGTTTAGGGCCTTACAGGTTTAAGGATGCACTTTCCGCGCAATACAGATAAGGGTGAACAGCACCTATCAATCACTTCAATAAGAAAGGCTGGTTGACGTTGGTAGAGTCAGACGTCCGGCTCGAAACAAATCGCAATTACCTTTAGGGCGGTTCAGCCCATGGCCCTAAAGAAATAAAGGATCTACATCATCCAAACCTAGACCCTTCAACGTAGTAGTCCTGCTACCTACCCGCAATATTCCATTCTTCTTGCACGATCCTAACGACAAGCTGAATCCGAAGACAGGTGATGCAATCCAGGGTTTAGGTAACTGCCCAGCTGCCGACCCACATAATCCCTCCAAGCGGCAGTCACAGGCACGGCGGAATTCTCCGAACGCCGGGTTCCGTTGAACATGCCCAGCTGCCCGCGCTCACCCCAACCCCAACATTTCCTCACGACTCATTGTAATTGTTCAGGAAAGCTACCATAATAGATCTTTGTATGTGAGTGTGTGTGTGTGTATATATATATGTGTGTATACTGCAGCGGAAAGAACGAAAGCGTAGTTTTTGTGTTATGCACGTACAAAAAAACATTCAGCCTCACCAAATCCTAACCCTCCAGGTGCCTACTATATAAGGCCCTAGGTGCTCTAGTACCCTATATAGTAGGTACCTGGACGGTTAGGGAACCCTAAACCCCTAAACCCTAAACCCCTAAACCCTAAACCTTGAAGCCCTAAACCCTGACCCAACCTCACAAAATAAAGGCCCAAGCTTCACCCGTCCGCTTTCTACGGCACAGCTGTGGAGAGCACCTGCACTCGTCAAACGGGGGAACGGGGAAGGTTTTAGGTCTTAGGGTTTAGGGGTTAGGGTTTAGGATTTAAGGTTTTGGGGTTTAGGGTTTAGGTTTGGCAAACTACCCCTGACCCCTGAGCACCCTCAAACTTAATCTAAACCCTAAACCCCAAACTCAAAACCGTAACTACCCTAAACCCTAAACCCTAAACTCAAAACCTTAACTAAGCTTTGAATCTCCTTCAGGCCCTTCCGAACCAAACAATGAGCTTTTGAGGGACCGTGCGAAAGCCACCCTGAAAGCAACCCTTAGGAGGAACCCGCTACAGAGAACTTCGAGGGCGCTCTCGAAGGAACCCTTAGCGGTTCAGAGCCTTTTGGATACGAGGGGTTGAGGGTCCAAGATTCGATAGCTTAGGGTTTAGGGCTTAGGGCTTAAACCCCTAAACCCTAAACCCTGAACCCTACACCCTAAGGTTCATACATGGGGTCTGATGATCTCAACATCTGTGGGTTTAGGAATCAGGGTTTAGGGCTTAGGGGCTCCAGGTTGACCCCAGCCCTCAAACACTTACGTATACATCTAATATGTGTTTCATACATATAACATATATATATATATAATGTATATTTTGTAGAATAGAATAGAATAGAATAGAATAGAATCTATTATAAATAATTGTTAAATAAATGAATAAATAAATAAATATATATATGTATATATGTATGTATACATAAAAATAAAATAAGAATATGTATATATATATATATGTATACAAAAGCATCTACGGATGTGTATATATAGGCTCGTTGGAAGGCTTCCGATCGATGCGTGCAGAGTTTCAGGTTGGCGAGATGGGACTAGAACCCTAAACCGCCGTACTGTCTGGTACCCTGTCCCTTTTAGGGTGTACCTACTTTTTCTATATAATAACAGATCCTAACCATAAAACTAGGTACCTTAAACAAGGGGTAGTAGGGTATGACCCTCCAGGTACTGTGTGGTACCCTCAGCCTTACAAAACCATTGGTACTGGATGCTGCAAGCCGGCCAGATCTGAATCCAAACCTTCTGCCCCAGACTGGAAATCCCGTATGTAGGGCTCCCGAGTACTGATGCGATGTAAAACCACAAGTTCTGCAACGTACAGCACTTTGTCGCTTGGGTGTTGAAAATGTCGAATGCCCGAGTGCATCTACTCCAACCGTGCCTAGAGTTCTCGGGACCAACGGCAAAGGACTTCCGACTTCCGTTTGAAACCATAAGACTGTAAAGATTGCTGAACCCTAAAACCGGTTGTCCGAAATACCCAACGGTTTCGGAGATTTAGAGTGTAGGGTTTAGGGTCAACAACCGGAAAATCAAAACAACCCCACCCGAGCAGATGGCATCGGCCCGTTCGATTTGGGCAACACGCACAGGATACCTTGGAGCGATACCCTAAACCCTAAACCCTAACCAGGAAGGTCACCGTTTCACGGTTTAGGCTTTGGGGTTTTCGCTCACCCTGATTTTCCGATCAAAGCTTAGCTGCTGAGGTCAGAGTACACTGGATTCACTCAGCCACTGTACTAAGAAAGTAGGCTCATCATTAAGGTACCGGGGCCAATAGTAAGTTGCAGCAATGTGTACCGAACGCGAATTTTCGTGGTGGTAGGGGGGAATGTCATCCTAAGCTACTCGCACCTTTAGGTAAGGCTCTAATCTTGGAGTCTTCTACAGAGGCACGGAACCTCTTCAGGAGGGCGCTGGGTATCAAGTAGGATAGGTCTTCAGGGCCAGAGCAGAGATTTGGAGTTTAAGAAAGGGTTCTGAAAAATGAACTTTTGAGCAGGGTTAGGGTTTAGGGCGCAGAGTTTCGGGTTTAGGGTTTCCCGGGCAAGCTTTACCTTCGCTTTCTTCGCCATACAGGACTGTATACGGCTAAGGATACAGGTCAACCCTCCAGGGTAAGCCCAGTACAGGGCAAACGCCACAAGCTCCGTCAACCCAATACGCACGTCCTAAGCACCTAGACGGCATTTCCGAAACGGAACTAACGGACACCTTCGGGATGCTCCTGGAGCACTAATCTAAGGAGTCAGACACTTGCTAGGTCTCAACCCTCCGAACGAATTTTCCACACAGCGGACCCAAAGAAGCTCAGACGAGGTTATGTCCTTGGGAACGAAAGCCCGAAAGTACAACCTGAAGAGCCTGAGGTGCTCTGAAACTTATAATCTCCAGCTTATGACTAAGGGTTTAGGGTTTAGGGCTACGACCACAAGAACCTCAACTCAAGATTGTACTCAAATCGAATGTGGACTCGTTTAAGACGGCGTCATATCACGGGAGTAGTGGCGCACGGGGTATTGTCTAGGGATTCACATGAACCCTAAACTGAAAAGAAAACCTATCACTTGCCCCGGTGCAGGCTATCCAGCGCTCGTCCGTCCCCCAGCTGACCAAACTCGCCCCAACCCCAGCAACGGACGATGCCAGACATCTCAGCGGAGATTCAAGGCTTAGCGTGGAGGATTTCGGAACAAAATTGCTTAGGGTGCAGGGTTTGGCTTTGTGGCTTTTTACTGGGAAGCTCACGCTACTTAGCAGACTGAGGAGAGATTTTAATGGGATACCTTAGCTGATGTCGAATGGTTATAAGGCCTCCAGATATGCAGGATCTTACGAGCGCACATGAAGCCAGATCCCTCTAGCCTCAGTCTCAAGTTGTTGTACTCGTTTCGTTTGGCCCGTAAACCAAACCGACATGATTGGCTTGAACACCTCAACGTAAACCCGGAAACTCAAAGGATAACAGCTAACCTTCAAAACCCTAAAGACATCAGTGCAGTATGATCATCGGGCCATCGTCAATACTGCAATCGTATATGCAGCCACTCCTGCCATTACTACTTATGACGAATCCTCAGTCTAATATCGTGCATTAACGATAACAAGATACACTGTTACTGGCAAACTTATCCGGTTTGCATAGTTCTGGTTGCGGCATCTGCAAGGACAAAACCGAAGACAGTAGCCAACCAACGCATTGAGCCCGGCTACCAAATACATACTGCGAATAATATTATGCCTGGAATTCATACTATATGTCCTGACAAACGGTTTTCGTGAGCCCTACCTAGCGAGCCCAACGCGCTTCAATCAAGCAATAGACTTTCAATAACGTTAAAGATCCCTCTATAGTTTGAAAGAGAACTACTCCTTATAAAAGGAGCCTGTAACATGCCAAGACTCGCTGTAAACCCACTAACCTACGTAGAGCTCGGAATAAGTAGACTCTAGACAAAACTAGTCATAACCCTCACCCTAAACTCTAAACCCTATAACACCCCTAGTCCCCATTATAGCTATAGAAGATAGGCACCAAACAACAATAAAACACAGCTGACAACACAGATCCTAAACAGTAGCGCCCTTCTTTCAAGGGCCCTAAACTAGACCCCGTAAACCTTAAGCTAACCCCCTAAACAGACTCTCTACAAGCCAGGCCCTCTTGCCCAAAGGGTCCTAAGTACCTTTTTGCGGGCGGGGGGGGGGGGGAAAGGATAACTGCCCAAACCATAGTAGCAAGAGTCTAGGGTTCAGGGTTTAGGGTCATAGTAATTCCCATTGTGGAGACCCTACATTCTGCCACAAAGGCACTTAGGACCCTTAGGAGGGGTAGACCCGGCCTCCAGGGCACAGGTGTGTGAGCCGCCGGCGCGGATGTCGACGGCAGGACCGAGCCTGTTTACTGGTGCGGGGGTTTTGAGGTTTAGGGTTTAGGGGTTTAGGGGTTAAGGCTCCTGAAAGTGCTCCCTAAACCCCTAAACCTCTAAATCCTATACCTCCAATCCCCTAAACACCCTAAACCCGGATCCTTAAACATGCAGGACGACTTCAAGTTCTAGGAAGTTGCAGGATTTCGGGTTGTAGAGCTTCAGGGTTTTAGGGACTAGGGCAAGTTTAGGGCTTAGGGCTTAGGGTTTGGGGTTTAGGGTTTAGTGTTTTGGGTTCAGGGTTTTGGGTTTAAGTATACGGCTGGGGGTTTAGTTTTAGGGTGCAGGGTGTTCGGGTTCAGGGTGTTGGGGTCTGAGTGTTTAGGGTGGAAGTTGTCAAGGGCTTAGGCTTAGGGCTTTAGGCTTTAGGCTTTAGGCTTTAGGGCTTAGGGTTTAGGGTTTAGGGCTTAGGTTTAGGGTTTCGCTTTCGGGTTTCAGGGTTTATGTTTGAGGGTTCAGGACAGCGCCTGGTTACAGGGGCTTCTACGGAGATTCGAATGAAGATCTGACACAGATGGTTTGCAGCGGCTTCCATCGGGTTTCCCCGGCTTTCTGAGAATCTTAAACTCTACCTGGGCCCCAAATAACCTACCGTTTACAGGGTACCTGTTCCTTATTATGGTTCCTCTATATAAGTCCTTAAAAAGATAGGTTCTTTGGGGTTAAGGTATGCTTGGTTACACTGGCTTCTGCATGCTCTTGAAGGACTTCATAAGGATCTTTTACTGCCGTAGGTACTGAAACTTGCAAACTCTTGCACCCCAAGCCCCATCAACCCTAAATTTCAGAACCCCTGAACCCCAAACCCTAAACGCCCTACGCCTCAAATCCTAAATGCCCTAAAGCCCCAAACCCTAAACGCCCTAAACCCCAAATCGCACCCTAAACCCTAAACTCCAAACCGTCTAGACCTCTTTAAGCACCCCAAACCCCAGACCCTGCCACCCAGAATCACCAGCCTTGCCACAGGGCGCGCTTCCCAGCGACGGCTGCGGCCACCAAAGCCAAGCCTCAGCAGTCTCAAGGCTTCTAAACCTATAACTTAGTGTTTAGGGTGTAGGGGTTAGGGTTTGGGGTGTAGGGTTTAGGGTTTCTAAACGTTATAAACCCTAAACTACTAAACTCAAAAACCCAAAGAATCTACCATTTCAGGATAAAAGTGGCGGCTTAAAGTTTGAGGTTTAGGGAAAGCTCCTATCGACAGCTACCATGTGCGTTTGCCAAAGCGACTGCCCGTCTTCGCCCTTGCCCCAGCATTTGGCACCGCCGTCCTCGATCATGCAAGCCGCAGGTCAGTAATTATGCTATCAAATTAGCAGGTCCCTACACCCCTAGACCCCAAACCCCTCTAAAAAAAAACAAAACCCTAAACCCTATATAAACCCTAAGTCCTAAAAATGCAGTCGGTTAAGTTTTTGAAAACCCAGGATGCTCAGCCTTAGCCGTGAGGCTCAGGGCACCTAACAAGTAGAGGAAGCGCGCGGCTATGGATAGTTATGATAACCTTGCTTGGATTTATAGGGTTTATGGCTTGGGGTTCTGCAGCTCTTGTAGAACACACAGCTAAAACCGGAAACGAAACTGCACCATAGACTTTAAATTTCCTCAACGCTCCAGACGGAAAACAAGTCCACCAAGCCCTAAGCTAACAGCACCACTTTCCGAAGCCGTGAAAAGCCTAAACCCTGAACTCAAACCGCGGTTTTCAAGTTGAAATTGTCTCGCAGCCTGTGGTGAAGGGCTCTACCTGTTGGCGTGTCGTGTTGTGCGTTCTGGGAGTGCGGTAGGTGGTTCAAACCTTTGGATTGAGGGTTTTGGATTTAGAGCCGTACACACACGCGTAAACCCTGCCTAAACCCCAAAAACCTAGCTTTTCAAGCCTCACACAGCTCTGATCAAACCTTGTAACCACCCCTTTCACACAACCACTGAATCATTAACCCTATGTAATCAACCCTAAACCCGAAACCCTAAACCCCAAACCCTAAACCCCGAAACCCCAAAACCCAAAACCCTAAAACCCCTAAACCCCCAAACCCTAAAACCCTAAACCCCGAAAATCCTAAATCCTCAAGCGACCTCCTCTACAGCGCAGGAATGAAGGCCGCCAGCTGTCACAGCCACCGCTGGCGCCAAGTTCTGCACACGCACTGGGATGTCCTCGGCTATAAAAGTTTTTAGGGGTTTTAGAGGGGGGGGGTTTAGGGTTTAGGGGATTAGGGGTTTAGGCTTTAGGGTTTAGGGTTTATGTAGGGTTTGGGGTTTAGGGTTTAGGGTTTAAGGTTTAGGGTTTTAGGGGGTTTAGGGTTTAGGGGGTTTAGGGCTTAGGGCCTAGGGCTTAGGGTTTAGGGTTCAGGGGTTACGGGGGGCGGGGGGTTCCTTCCTGGCTAATTAGACTAGGGAGTTGATGGGACGTGCTTTCGAAACTATCTGTGTGTATATGCATATATAGATATATACATAGAGAAGGGTATTTGTGTATGTGTAGATATATATATATATAGATACAGATATAGATATAGATATAGATATAGATATAGATATAGATATAGATATAGGTATAGATATAGATATAGAAGCCGCAATATGGGTTTTTAGGGTGTAGGGTTTAGGGTTTAGGAGTTTAGGGTTTAGGAGTTTAGGGTTTAGGAGTTTAGGGTTTAGGAGTTTAGGGTGTAGGAGCTTTGGAGTTGAGGGTTTAGGGTTAACGGTTAAGAGTAATTGCCAACGTTATTCCTTTAGTGTTCCTTAAAAGGAGTATATGGCCCAAAGCCCTTCTCTCATCACTTTGGTCCCCCTCTACCCTACAGAGCTCAAAACCCTAAGACCTTAGCTCTCATATGGGTAGTTCTCTATATTAGGGTCCCTTTTAGGGTCCTGTTTATAAGGATGCCGTACTACATTGGAGACCTAAAACGGGACCCTAATTTAAAGAACTGCCCCATATTCCAGAACCTATAGTCACCCGTATAGAGAATCCTTTATCGGAGCCCCTCTTTCAAGGAACCTTCTTCTAGTTCTCAAGGCCCCTCAACCCTAAACCCTAAACCCTAAACTCCTAAACCCTACCTGTAACCGAAAAGACCTACCTTTTTAAGGAACTATATATAGAAACCAGAATAAGGAACCCTAAAAAGGTGGGTCTTTTCGGTTACAGGTAAACCCTACACCCTAAGCTCCTAAACCCTAAACCCTGAGTTTACCTACCTCAATCCCCGAGATATGGCGTGGGCTACACGCTCACCATTGCGAAGTCTCCCCAGCAATCTGCCCCTTCGACCGAACTATTCAGGGTTTAAGGTTTAGGGTTTAGGGGTTCGGGGTTTAGGGTTTAGGGGTTAGGGGTTGGGGTATTTAGGGTGTAGGGTTTAGGGGTTTAGGGGTTTAGGGGTTAGGGTTTAGGGGTTCAGGATTTAGGGGTTAGGATTTAGGGTAGGTTTTTTCGTTTAGGATGTGGGCCCTAGGGGTCCCTAAACCCTGAGCCCCCCTAAACCCTAACACCTAATTGGGGTTTTAGCGGCCTTTTGGGATTGTTTTTTGTTGATATATATATATATATTTTTTTATTTTTTTTGCGGGATTTGGGGTTTAGGCTTTTTGGGCTTGTGGGATCTTCGGGCTTCGGGCGCATGGAGGGCTGTGAGCCAAGGATGCTGAAGGGTTTAGAGTCTGGCGTCTGGGGTTTAGCATACTGTTGATGATATACATCCTGCCTTACCTTAAG